CGTGCCCCCACCCCAGTGTCCTCCCAGTGTCCTCCCAGTGTCCCCCCCGTGCCCCCCCGTGCCCCCCACTCACAGCCATGGCAATGGCCATGTCCCCCTTGGTGACCATGTCCCCCCAGTGTCCCCCCCTTGCCCCCCTGTGCCCCCCACTCACAGCCATGGCGATGGCCATGTCCCCCTCGGTGACCATGTCCCCCCAGTGTCCCCCCCTTGCCCCCCACTCACAGCCATGGCAATGGCCATGTCCCCCTTGGTGACCATGTCCCCCCAGTGGCCCCCCCGTGCCCCCCCGTGCCCCCCACTCACAGCCATGGCAATGGCCATGTCCCCCTCGGTGACCGTGTCCATGGGGGACGACACCAGGGGGGTCTTCAGGGTGATGGTTCTGGTCAGCGCCGACGTAAGGTCCTGGGGGGGCACCCCTAAAATCCTGACCCTGCCCTGAAGCCCCCCGAGGGGCAATGGGGCACCCCGGACCCCTCCCTGCCCCTCCCTGTCCCCCCATACCCCCAAAAATGCAGGAACCCCACACACCCTGGCCACGCCTCAAGGGTTGGGGGTCCTCCGACCCCCTCGCACCCCAAAACCTGCTGAGACCCCTCCCATGGGCATCTCCCACCCCAAAATCACAGGGGGGGCCAAGGAGGGAATGAGGTCACCCCAGAGGGGTGTGGGGTGGCACAAGGGGGGCACAGAGGTGTTACCCAGGGGGTCTCAGCCCGGGGGGGGCTCAGGGGGGTCACTCACCACCTCATCAGCCGTGAAGTCGATGTAGCCGGGGAGGATGAGGATGTCACTGCGGGGGGGACGAAGGGCTGGGACCCTCCTGGCCCCCCAGATTGACCCAGACCCCCCCAGGGGTCCTTAGGGGACCCCTGGACCCACGGGGGAGGGACCTGAGGTGGGGAGAGACACCTGGAGGGGGCACACTGGGGGGCAGGGGTTCCTGGTGTGGAGTCTGGGGGCTCCTGAAGGGTTTGGGGGGGTTGTCAGAGGGGGTCGGGCAGTTCCTGTAGGGCCTGGAGGTCTGGGATGGACTCTGGGGGTCCCTGAGGGGAGTCCCTGGGGTTTCCCGAGGAGGGGTGGGGGCTTCCCTGGGAGGTCTGGGGATGCCTGGGGGAGGTCAGGTGGACTCAGGGGGACATCTGGAGGTGCCAGGTCGTGCCTGGGGGGGGGTTGGGGGTGCCCGTGAGGGTCAGGGTGTGCCGAGGGGGTCAGGGGTCACCCGCACTTGTAGGTGAGGCCGTCTGCGCAGGCGAAGAGCTGCTGGGCCGTCAGTCCGTCCTCGGGCACGTAGCCGGCCCCGCTGATCAGCTGCTGCGCCATGCTGGGGGGAGGCTGGCACCGGGACCCCCCACAGACCCCCGGGGAGCCCCCCGGGACCCCCCCGGCACAGCCAGGTTGGGGGGAGGCTGGCACCGGGACCCCCAAAACCCCCAAGCCCACCAGCCCACCAGGGACCCCCGGCACGGCCATGCTGGGGGCGGCTGGCACCGGGACCCCCACCGGGAACAGGGACTGGCACCGGGACCCGCCCGAGACCCAGCCGGTACCCACAGACCCCCCTGGGACCCCCAGCCGACCGGGAACGGGGACTCTCAGAGGGACCCCCGTCCCCTCCCCATGGCCATGATGGGAGGGGGCTGGCACTGGGGATCCAGACCCCAACCCAGACCCCCCGGGGCCCCCCATCCACACCGGGAACACCCCCAGGATTGCCCCCTCCCCCCGCGACTGGGACCCCCTGGGACCCGCACCGGACCCCCACCCCTCACCCAAGATTGGCAGCCCCGACCCCCCCGGGACCCCTCACCGGGACAGAGACCCCGGCCCGCATCCCCCGGGGGGACCCGGACCCCCCCCCCCAGTACAGGGACCCCCCACGCCCCCCGGGTCTGGCCGGGCCGGGCGGGGCTCGCTGGGCGCTCCGGTGCCCGGGGGAGCCCCCGGGAGAAGCCGCTCCTCGGGGAGTCCCCGAGCGGGCCCCTCTTTCGGGGGGTCCCCGAAGGGTTCCGGGGTTCCCCGTCCCAGGGGGGGGTTCCGAGGAGGGAAGATCCCAGTCCCCGGAGGGTCCTTCTCCCAGTGGGGGGTTCCTGGGGGGTTCGGGGGGGGTCCCGGTTCCCGAGGCGGCCCCAGCGCAGGGCGTGGCCGTGGGCGTGCCCGGTTGTGGGTTGGGCGTGTCCGGGGGCGTGGCCATTTCCCACGGGGCGTGGCCAAGGCCGGGACTGGTCGCCGCAGCCCCCCCCCCTCCCAGCCTGCCCAGCGCCTCCCAGTAACCCCCACCCCGCCTCCCAGTGCCCCGGCCCCAGCGCTCCCAGTAACCCCCCCGCATCCTCCAGTAACTCCTCCTGCACCCCCCAGCAACCCTCTGTAACCCCCCCGCCCCCCACTGTTGCCCGACATTCCCCAGTAACTGCCAGGAGCCTCCCCCAGTACAGCCCAGTACCCCTCCAGTACCTCCCAGTGCTGTCCCTCCACCTCCCAGTAACTCCCCGATACCCCCCCCGCTGCTCCCTCATGCCCCAGTAGCCTCCCAGTACCCGCCAGTGCTGCCCACCCAGTACCCGGTGTCCCCCCCGGCACCTCAATAACCTCCCAGTATCTCCCCAGTGCTGCCCTCCCAGACCCCAGTAAACCCCCAGTGCCCCTCCACTGTTGCTCCTCCATCTCCCAGTAACCTCCCAGTACGCTCCACTGCTGTCGCCCCAGGCCCCGGTAATCTCCCAGTAACCCCTCC